GGTACCATAGATAGACTAAATTAAATAGTTTTAATTGTGTACCTAGTTTTAACGTTATAATATTATTTATGTATTTATACCTTAAAACATAAAAATATCCTGTCATTATTCAAACTATCTAAAATAATCTTCATACAAAAACACAAAATCCTCTACCACAGGACATAATATAAAGTTAAACAACCCTTTAAAATTAAACTGAAGAAAATACACCCAACCAAAATTATTCATATGTATACAAGTGCACAAAAACAGGCAACATACATATACATCACAAGAACATATCAAATACCCTTTAAAAAAGATACAAACAAAATATATAGGCAAACTAATCACAAATTATACAAAAAGAAATATACATACATGTGTTGTATTTTAGAATGATGCAACAGTTCTGTAGAATAACAAGAGATACAACAAGATATCTATTATGAAGTAATACTGTGTTTTTTCTAAATATCTCAGTTTCTGAGGATGATATTAAGAGACTGAACACAATGTATATTACAAAAGCATAATTTTTCTTATAATGTAACACAAACATAGTGTGTGCATGTGTATTTGCTTTGGATGATGGACTGTAGCTTGTATTGGATTTAAATTATTCTCTCAGGTCAGAATCATCTACCAAAACTGTTTAATGTTCTTTACTTCACAGGTAATGTCAGAATCACCCATAGCAACCTCGACTGGTCATTCTCATTCAAGCACAGGGGAAGTTGCAACCTCAAAATAACACCTAACCTACCACTGAAGAACACCGCTGGGTGTTAACATTTTCTTTAACTGAAAATGTATTTTCAATAGATATTCACCTCCACATAGAGAATAGCTTGATTTTTTAGTGCATCTTTCTAGATTTGCATGCCACTACCCTTGAGCTACCTCCCACGTAAAAAACATGTTTAACATGAACTGTGCTCATGCATGGTCATCATCATGAGATGGAAGCTCTACACCAATAGGAGGGTGACACAGCCTACAAGTACAGTAACTCCCCCTTAACACTTGCAACTGATTTAGATTCATTCTTAAACAAGGCAAGAAAATTGTGCACCAGAAGTGGGGAGGACAGATGGGAACGTGTGAAGAGACTAGTACCTATCGAAAATACATTTTCAGTTAAGGAAAGTGTTAACTTCTGAGACAATACTTTACCTCTACACAGAGAATAGCTTGAATCCCACACTGAAATGGTGGAGGGGCAGGTGCAAACATTAAACCTTGATGAGTAACCTTCTGAAAGTTCTGCTGGCTTTTTCTATGATAGTCCATGGAAGGTAAAGTGAGGATTGGGTAACTGAATAATTTCATCATCATGAGGTTACCTCTAGTGGTCTTCCAGAACACCACATCTCAGCAGTGAACACTGGGAAGAACCAAGGTGAATGGGTTGAATGCTTTTCATTACCCCTGGCAGGCAACACCAGCCACCTGGCAGAACCATATAAAAGGAGTTAGAAGAGGGAAATAAAGAAGAAAATGTACTTTCCATTCTCAAAGATGGTGTGTGGATTGAAAAACAGTGACCAACGGGAGTATAGATTTCACAGGAGATGAAACAGCCAGATGGTGAAGATAGTGGGAGACTAACATGTGCAGAGTCATCAATACATCTGCCTGAAGGATCTCATCCAAGGGTTGGGAAAAGTGTAATTCATGAAGAATCTGCGAGAATCAATATCAAGGAAAGAATATGCCAACCAGAGGAGTTGATGGATACATCCTGTAAGTATAGAATACAAGAGGTTCCTGGACAAAGAGGGGTACCAAGATGGAAACAAACAATGACAGGAACCCTGAAAGGGAGATATATGTGCCCAGTAACACCGAACAGCAGAGAA